AAACCCAAACCATTCTCCTTAATCGGATAAGCCACTTTACTCCATTTACGCCAAATATGTCTTTTTTCAAGATCAGAGGTATACCAAAGAAATTTGATGCACTTTTGTTCAATACTTCCTATTATGCAAAATGGTTTTGGGTATGACCCCAGTGACCATATGGTAGAGGGGGAGGGTGGTAATTGTGAAATAATGGGAAAGAGGTACTCCAATAGGAGTCCTGACAGATATATTTATAATAGAAGAGTTGCCAAAATACAAAGTATTCCTAAATAGATATTAGGCAGATTCCTAAATATCTATTAGGTAGATTCCTAATTATATTAGCCTATTAGTAATCACAGAATTAATAAGAGTAATGCGCCCCCATGAGTTAAAAATTTATTTTCCCAACCCGCTAGTTTGTGGTCAATTTTGCACAAAATATTTTCAAAATGATAGATTTTTTGTCCTACCTTGAAAGATAGGGGGATTTCCCAATATACAGGAAAAGTTAACCTTCCTTGCCGTTTTCTAAAAAAGGGGAGTCGGAATTGGGTGTTCTGACCAGAGTTAGGGTTTCAGAAAAAGTATTTTTTCTATTTTTAAATCCTTGTCGGATTCTGGTGTTCCGACCATAGGTGGGCTAGCTTTTTGTTTTAATGTCAATTACAACATTAAAACAAGAATGTTGCGCTTTGTGTTCACTTCCGGGAACATGATGTGAGGTTTCTCGCACCTAAAAATGTTGTAGAATAGTGGTTGAAAATACGAGTATCTATCGTCTTCACAGAGACGGGCATAAGGGAAATAAGAATGAACTAATTTCAGCGATAATAAATAAATAAAATAAATGCAATGGTGCGAGATTTGACTGTGAAAATTAAATTGCAATTGAACGATTAAGTGTGTGTGAATGTGCCCCTTAATCCATGCACGGCGTGCCTCCCTGCCAGGCACGAACGTGCCTAGGTTCTAGTAGTTAGGCATCTCGATGCACTACACGCACGGCGTGCCTGCAGCTAGGCACGACCGTGCCTTCACTATTTTTTTTGCCGGTGCATCTTCTGGGCACGCACGGCGTGCCTAACGCCGGGCACGACCGTGTGTGGCCCATTCTTCATCGTTTTCATCGTTTCTTGCTCCAAAGTCCAAATGCTCCCAGATGCTCCCGTGATCGATCCAAAGGTCTTTTCTTCATCAAATCTTCATTGTGAACCTCCCGTAGACCTCCAAAACTCTCAAATCTCTCTCTAATGTTCTTCAACTCTTCTTGATTGCTTCTCAAGCGCCGGTGCAGACTTCTAATTTCCTGATTTTGACTCCAACAACACAAAACTCGAACCAACGCTTGGTAAACATAATTTGAGCTAAAATTGAGAACTTTAACACCTTAAAACTAGGAAAACCATCAAAAGTCGATCCCAACACGTATCAAATGCGTGATGTAATATGAACTTATCAGATCCCCCCACACTTAAGCTTTTGCTCGGCCTTAAACAAACTGAACAATGGGACTTACGATAATCACCACACAGAATCAAAATAATTAGCATGCACACATAGTTACAAGGATATTCATAGAACAGACAGACTAAACCAAGAAAATTCTTCCCTAAACTACATTTTTGTAATCTAGCTAAAATATTTGACAAAATCATTCACAACATCCTCAAAGTAGTGATAACATACACTAATAAACTAGCTACTGATCAGAAGGACTTGTGAAGGCGGTGGTGAATGATGAACGGTAAGTATAAACAGTTCCTTTCTTGAGAGTTTGGAACACCCTAACAAAGACTCAATGCATTCGGGAATTTCGGGGCTATTCTTAGGGTCAAAGAGTTCAGCAGGACACTATTTTGGAACTATCATTTAAACCTATGCAAGGAGTAGACATGGTGTACAACTAAGCTAAACTGTCGCTGCACATTAGGGCTTTGACGTATACTTGAAGTACGCGAAGGACTAAAGCTAATTTTTGGAATAGCCTTCAAGTTCGTTTAATTAAGTTCAGTTTTCCTTGTCATGTTGGCACAAGAACACCATTTCTTTCAAAAGATTCCCAAGTTTCATCTTATTGTGCAAAGCACTTACGCTTTTGACCGGGTTTCTCATTCTCTTTTTCGCAAGGTAAGAGGTCTAGCTATTAATTAGTTTTTACAAATTTTCAGATTTTTACTAGACATTACCACATTCTAATCTCGGCCTCACCAAAGAAAATTAGCGGTTAAAGTTCAATTATTCAAATTGAATCCATGCCCACAATGCAATCCCCAAAAGTATCAAATTCCTAAAGAGTGAATGTTCTTACCCCATTTGGGGCATAGGAACAGTGCCAAGAGTGGCTCTTACAAATACTCCCTCAACTTAGCAAAGTAATCCCCTAGTTCACTAAACATCAAGATTTTGTCAGAAATATTCACGGGTAAGAAAACACAGGCCATTTGGCTATATGGAGCTCAATTAATTGGGTAAAGAATAAAATGATCAAGCTCAACATGGTTTCTCCTAAAGGACTTATTCAGTAGGGTGGATGATTAATTAATTCAATGGGTGACTAATGCTTTCATCCTCTCAGCAACTAGATTATAGTGCAAGTAATTTAAGCCTAAACACTTCAAAGATATTCTAAAAGCATAGTCAAAACGCTGGGCAGCTCATGACTTTCCTATGAATATACAACTAACACCTGCGCATGCTAACTCTAATAATCTCATGTACAAGGGGGTAAAGAGGAAAGGGTCACACATGCTCACATTCAGGGGCGGAACCAGGGGGAGTGAGCCGTTGCTGGCTCCACCCCTTTGCCAGAGATTTTTTAGTAGTAGTATGAGGTACTCCGATAGGCGCCCGCCATAGCTTCATCTTCTTCCTTGCAATTAGGGATACCTGCGGTGCGGCAGTGAGCCAGGGAGAACGACGAAAGCTGGAGCCTAAAACGATGTCGTTTGTTTAATTAATTCAATCAGCAAATGAAAACGATGTCGTTTGTTTAAGTGCACATGAAAAGGAAATACTACGTCGTTTCATCATTAAATGATATGCACGCGGTTGAATTTCTCGTCGTTCCTCCTTCCTCGCGTAAAATGGCGTTCCTCGCTGCGTCTCTAGCTCGTAAAACGACGAACTCGGCCCTCGCATTTAATACCTGCAGTCTTGCAAAGTCTCCAGCTTCCCTAGACCATATCTCCCATCATGAACTCTGAAGGCTAGTAGCCTGTAGCCTACGACTTCCTAGTTTGGCAATTATTTATTTTTAAAATTGAAATCTTTTTCAGCTACTTCCTATTTGCTTTTGCTTTAATTACTTATTTATAATTGATTAATTGATTAATTACTTCAATTGCTTTAAAGTTTAATTGATTAATTGCTTGAATTGGTATAAGTTAAAATTGTTTTTGCAATTTTATTGATTAATGTAATCTTCTCACAAATTATATATATATTCTATATATTTTAATACAGAGTAATAATTTAGAGCCTTTTTGATAACACTGAAATTGTCTGAATCGGCTGATTGTATTGAAATTTATGAAGTTCTGGCTGAAATTTATGAAGTTTTGGCTGAAGTAGTTGAATTGGCTGATTCTGCTGATTTATGAACAAATCATGTATAAAATATCTTTTATTTTATGAATGAAAAAGAAATAAAATGAAAATCTACACCAACTTCAGCCCAAATAGACAAAAAAGTAAGTTAAATTTTACTTTTTTCTTATTATTACACAATTTAGCGTGTGAAATAAAAAATTGTGTGTGTGGTGAAAAAGTTGGCTGATAAGCTTGATAAGCCGAAAAATAGGTTCAATCGGGCTATATTTTTTCTTTTTTTAAATCTTTTAGCATTCCCTTGGTTTTTGTTCTGGTTCCGCCGCCACTCACATTAACTCACGTCAGTAATTAACACAAGCAAAAAGAATGATCATGAAAACTTCCCTAAGGGCGTTGATGGATACAGAACTAAACTGAGTCATGTAATCCTTGGCATATCATCCCAATGAAAAAACCTGAGCTGTAACAAAAACATAAAGCAAAACAACCAAACAACAAAGAAAAATAAAAATAAAAACAATGCAGAAATAAGCTCGGGTTGCCTCCCGAGTAGCGCTATTTTTAATCAAGATGGCATTTCTGACACATGTTGGCATTTTTTTCTGTGTTGGTAGGTTGTTGAGGTGTTAGCATAGGCCTTCATTTTTTTCATTTATTAATAATTTTATTTTGATTTTTTAAGTTTTTTATTTTATAATATTTTATTTTTTGAATTTTGTTATTTTTATTAATTTTATTTAATACTCAGTATTTATTTCATTTTTTTTACATTTTTATTATAAATAAATTTATGTTTTTACTTTTATATTTTAATCATTAATGAAATATGAATTGTAATAAAACAGAACAAGGGTAGAATTGGAAAGCTAGTCGTATTTAGGGAATTTTTAAGTTATGATCCTATTTTGAAAATTAAAATTTCATTTTGTCCTATTTAGGAAATTCATCCTTATATATATGTCATAAGTTAGTGACATTATTTTGTCACGGAATATTTTAGCTGGGTAATAGAACAAAAAATAAATCTCCTTATTTTTTACTCCCTCCGTAACTTAAAAATCTTCTCACTTTCCTTTTTCGTCCGTAACAAAAAAATCTTCTCATTTCTAAATCTTCCCATCATACTCTCAATAATTTTTAAAATAATACATTATTACAACTACTTTTTTTGGATTTATCCTACGTTCCACCACATTATTCCACTATTTTCCCATCATATCCTCAATAATTCATATATCTTTCATTATTTTTAATCTATCTACTTTTGAAATGGGAAGATTTTAATGGTACCGTGACCAAAAGCTATGGTAATAAATGGTACAATAGTCAAAAAGGCAAAAGCTAAAGTGGCACAATAGGATCAGTGACCAAAATTTCTAAAACGTCATTGAGTGCGTAATCAATCATTGTGACCGTAGATTTAACATGAACATCTTGACCTCGGTTGTTGTTGGCGTGGCTATAAGTAAATAACGTGTAGATTGATTTCAGAATGCAAACATTAAACACAAATGAATCTCTTAATTGTGGGAATCCCACCAATGCCTCAAACTGATCTCTTTTCATGCTTGGTGTTTCTTCTCTTGCTTTTTGTGAGTGTTTCATCTTCGGCTGCTGTTGTTGCGTCTTCAAACGATGAAGGCAACGGCCTGCTGACATGGAAGTCTACGTTTCAGAACAAAAATAACCCACTCCTGGTTTCATGGAAAAACGCTTCCCAAAATGGTAGCCGCCCTTGTGAAGATAAATGGGCTGGAATTCAATGTGTTAATGGAAGAGTCAACCGGTTGAACTTGTCGGAGTTAGGAATCAATGGTACTCTCAAGAGCTTCCCCTTTAAATCTCTCTCAAATCTAGAATATTTCGAAATCAGTTTAAATAACATCTCAGGAAACATACCACCCCAAATTGGCAATCTGTCCAAACTCATCTACCTGGACATGTCGGCCAATTATTTGTCTGGAGGAATCCCTCCCCAGATTGGCCTTTTAAACAGACTCCAGACCCTTCATCTGAATGAAAATTCTTTAGGGGGTCATATTCCCGATGAAATCGGCAACTTGACTTCTCTTGTTGAGCTTGCTTTGTATATAAATAACATAGGCGGAGCAATACCTGCTACGCTTGGCATGTTGAACAGCTTGAACTCTTTGTATCTCTATGAAACCTCTCTTTCTGGAGCTCTTCCTCCCGAGCTCGGGAAAATTGCCAATCTTTCTCTTCTTTACGTGGACACTAACAAGCTAGAGGGGCCCATCCCCCCGGAGCTCGGAAACCTCTCACAACTACAGGTGCTGTATATGTTCGACAATAATTTGAACGGTCAAATCCCATCTTCGTTAGGACGACTAAATTCACTCTTGGAACTCAGCTTGTTCGGGAATAATTTGACCGGTCCAATCCCATCTTCGTTGGGTCAACTCGAGAACCTCTCCCTCCTCCACCTTTATGACAACAACCTGAGCGGCGCCATACCACTAGAGTTTGGAAATCTAACGAACCTCAAGGATCTTGCAGTGAGCAACAATCAGCTCACCGGCGAAATCCCAACTTCCTTCGCCAAACTAAAGAATTTGGAATATTTGTATCTGGATAGTAACCATCTTTCCGGTCCCATTCCACGTGACGTCTTAGGTGCACTGCAAAAACTGACCGAACTCCAAATGGATATCAACCGATTCAATGGATCTATACCAGATACTATATGCAAAGGTGGGAAAATCGAGCATCTCACGTTGAGTAACAACAGTCTCTCTGGGCCTATTCCAACCAGCATGCAAAGCTGCTCGAGCCTACACCGTCTTCGTTTGGACAACAATCGGCTCACCGGAAACCTCTCTGGCTTCTTTGGCATCTATACCAATTTAGCGTATATGAACGTGAGCCACAACCTACTTCAAGGAGAACTTCCTCAACTTCCCCACCCGGAATCTTTCAAGTCTTTAAACGCTCTCGATTTCTCATACAATAACTTGACTGGAGAAATACCCTCATCTCTGGGAAGTTTACCAAACTTGACCGCCCTGAGCATGAGCCACAACTCTCTCAATGGAAAAATCCCATCTTCCTTCAGAAATATTATGAATTGGTTTCACGTTGACTTATCGTACAACAATCTAACATGTGAGATTCCGAACACCCCAGCTTTCAAGAATGCCACACTCAAGGGAAATAATATATGTTTGTGTGGTGATAATAGGGACATCAATCCTTGTGGCGATAACAATGGAACGGGTTGCAACCGGTGTTAGAACTCATAAAGCCGGCCAAGAAGGAAGAATACTACTATATTTAGCTTACTTGTTTGAAAGTGGTCTTATGTGTTAAGCTTTTATATATGTGTGCACCATAGTATTCACAATATTTCAGCTCGTGTACTTCATCTTTTTTCTTTTTGGGCAATAAATTTGGGCTATACAGATATGGCTCGCTCATTGTTTTCAAGTTAAGAAATTGACATTTATGTCTTAATTATACTACGTACATCTTTCATTATTGTGCAAATCAGAGTCTTTTCTTGTGCATATGCTGGTGTCATACTATATATAATCTTGTACATTATGACTATTGATTATATTCTCCTCCAATAATTTTTTGGAATCTCCTAATTTTTTTGGTATCTTAGTTAAACTTTGGATAAAAATTTAATTAGTACATGGTATGTTTTTAATTACACTACAAGTTTTATAAAGGTACAACTTTAACACGAAAATATTTTATTCGTTTTCATTTATAACAAGTTTTGTACTAAAGTATATTTGGCCCGTTTGGTAACACTCAAATCGGTTTATTCAGCTGATTCTGCTGAAATTTATGAAGTTCTGGTTGAAGTGACTGCATTGGCTGATTCTGTTGACTTATGAAAAAATTATATTTAAAATATACTCCGTATTTTATTCAATCATCAATCATCATTTATCACAGTGCCGCAAAGGCTCCCACCTACGGTGGGGTAAGGGGAGGGGGTCGGATGTACGTAATCTTACCATTATACTAAAGAACAAAGAGACTGTTTCCGGATGACCCATAGTAAAAATCGCGTCCAAAATTGTATTGACTGACCGCAACTTCATAACAAAGAAGCGCAGACAGCTAAGTGAGCCATTTTGCTTTATTCCATCATATTCTCAAGCCAAAAAATAATGAATCTTTAGCTCCATTGCACATGATGGAAAATACTTCGTATTTTATTAATAAAATAAATAAAGAATTATATGAAAAATAGCTAAAATTGTCATCTACAGTAACTTAGCTAATACAACTAGAAAAGTAACTCCAACCTTACTTTTTCTTATTATTTTACAATTCAGCGTGTGAAATCAAAAATTACGTGTTTGGTTAAAAAGTTGGCTGATAAGCCTGATAAGCCGAAAAACAAAGTTACTAAATGATAGGATTTAAAGACAAACACAATCATAGAAAATTATTATGACCAAATGCTCTCCGGCTCATTGAATAGAAATTAAAGAATCTCGTAAATGAGCTAATTTGACCGTAATTGTTCTTTTATAGTAAATCAAAACTTTATTAATCTAACAAATCACGGTAAGTTTACGACCAAATCAGGAGAACTTGTGGTCTTTTCCCTAAGGTTAGGGTTGGGGGGTTCCGGCGAGCACAGTGACACGGGCGGTGGCTACAATGACACGGGCGGTGACTACAATGACACGGGCGGTGGCTATAGTGACACGGGCGGTGGCTATAGTGACATGGGCGGTGGCTACAGTGACATGGGCGGTGGTTATAGTGACATGGGTGGTGGTTGTAGTTACAAAAAAATGAGCACGTAGTGACATAAAATTTTTGCAGTTACATCATGTTTTCTAATTGCACATATATGACCTTGATCACTTTTTTTCCCCTTTTTAAAAGTGGTCACTTTTTGGTTAATTGGTTCAAAATTAGTAATATCCAATTAAAAACCACATTCAAGTTGGCAGAATGAAAATGTTGGCATTCTCATGAAATATGCCATTTTTGTGGAATTTAAAAAAAAATGGCATTTTTTTGGAGTCTGTCAATGATCTTACATTAAGTAGTCGGGAGGTTGGACCCTTCTTGTACTCTATGTCTCTCTAGAACTCTTGCTCTACAGTCAAAACTTAAACATATATATAATTTATGTAAGCTACCAATATATTTTTTCACCACGTATATGTAAACTAACAGCTTACTTGTATACTTATTCTCCTAGCTACCATAAAGTAAACTGTCCATGTATATAAATAAACTAACTGCTTACTAGTATACTTCTTCTCCTAGCTACCTTGTAAACTATGCATGTAAACTACCAGTATATTATGTCACCATGTCTTCTTTTTCCACCATTTTTTCAAATATATATTTCTTCTTGTACTCAGTAGAACTCTTGTTTGAATGTTACCGTTAGTCAGTTCTATAGTCTAAACAACTTAAACATATATGTAAACTAGTTGTATACTTGTATTTTTTACCATGTATATGATTCAGCTACTTGTATTTTTTTACCATGTAGATGTTTCAGGTACTTGTATTTTTTTTACCATGTATAGTTGTATACATACTACCAGTCCATACTAGCAAACTACCATTTTTCTTTACCATGTATACATACTGTGATACTACCAGTCCATTTTATTCATTTTTTCCAGCATGTAGTTGTTATATACGGAGTACTATATAAAACTCATAAATGGAAGTATACTGTATATATAATATATGCCTTCTGTATTTTTTACAGGACATGGAAGGTGGAACTTCAGCCACGAGTTCTGAAGCTGCTAAATCAACAAAAATATTGGTTAATCGTAGTGCTGAAAAATGGGACTTCTTTAATTTAATTTTTGGAGGTTGCTATCTACTTTTGCTGTCAAACTTCATGGTTTTATAATATTGTTTTTTATGCTTTTTGTTCTATTTTGGAAAAGGTATACTTACAGTTCATTTTAACTGCTTGTTTTCTAACTGCAGTTTGAAGAAAGACTAGGATTGAGTCTAATTTTGGGTGCTTTTATTGTTATTTTTCAGGGCTGATCGTACCTCAACTATTGAAGATAATGAGTCTCCCAAGTCATATACTCCATATGATTTAATGAAGTTATTGTTTGTCATTTTGTATAAGATGTTTAGGCCCACGTATTATGAGAGCAATGGTAGATTATATAGATATTACAAGAGCAATGTGGATAATATAGATCTTACAACCAGTTTTGTATCAATTACATTTAAATAGTGTTTTCTTTAAATTATATATGCTTGTCAGTATTGGATATTATCCAGTATTTTATTTAGCACGGTGGGCAGTGGCTGCTTGGAAAATCTGTGATTGATATTACTTAGATAGTGTTTTAGAAATCAAATGTAAAATTTGTAAATATATGTCTACCATGTTGGGTATAAAGATAGCGTTTGTTAAAGCAATGTAAAAGTATATGAACTACTATAGTGGCACATCTTCTATAGCGGTTTGAAACGCTATTGTTGACTTATTTATGATAGCGTTTGTAAAATGCTATATAAAGCCGTAGATCTACTATAGCATGTCAAGATATAGCGTTTCATAAAACGCTATGGAATGATATGATAGCGTTTTTGAGTCGCTATAGATGACAATAGTTGTTGTAGTGTGATTCTGCTGAAATTTATGATGTTCTGGTTGAAGTGGCTGTATTGGCTGATTCTGTTGACTTATGAAAAAATTATATTTAAAATATACTCCGTATTTTATTCAATCATCAATCATCATTTATCACAGTGCCGCAAAGGCTCCCACCTACGGTGGGGTAAGGGGAGGGGGTCGGATGTACGTAATCTTACCCTTGTACTAAAGAACAAAGAGACTGTTTCCGGATGACTAATAATGAAAATCGCGTCCAAAATTGTATTGACTGACCGCAACTTCATAACAAAGAAGCGCAGACAGCTAAGTGAGCCATTTTGCTTTATTCCATCATATTCTCAAGCCAAAAAATAATGAATCTTTAGCTCCATTGCAAATGATGGAAAATACTTCGTATTTTATTAATAAAATAAATAAAGAATTATATGAAAAATAGCTAAAATTGTCATCTACAGTAACTTCAGCTAATACAACTAGAAAAGTAACTTCAACCTTACTTTTTCTTATTATTTTACAATTCAGCGTGTGAAATCAAAAATTACGTGTTTGGTTAAAAAGTTGGCTGATAAGCCTGATAAGCCGAAAAACAAAGTTACTAAATGCTAGGATTTAAAGACAAACACAATCATAGAAAATTATTATGACCAAATGCTCTCCGGCTCATTGAATAGAAATTAAAGAATCTCGTAAATGAGCTAATTTGACCGTAATTGTTCTTTTATAGTAAATCAAAACTTTATTAATCTAACAAATCACGGTAAGTTTACAACCAAATCAGGAGAACTTGCGGTCTTTTCCCTAAGGTTAGGGTTGGGGGGTTCCGGCGAGCACAGTGACACGGGCGGTGGCTACAATGACACGGGCGGTGAATACAATGACACGGGCGGTGGCTATAGTGACACGGGCGGTGGCTATAGTGACATGGGCGGTGGCTACAGTGACATGGGCGGTGGTTATAGTGACATGGGTGGTGGTTGTAATTACAAAATAATGAGCACGTAGTGACATAAAATTTTTGCAGTTACATCATGTTTTCTAATTGCACATATATGACCTTGATCACTTTTTTTTCCCTTTTTAAAAGTGGTCACTTTTTGGTTAATTGGTTCAAAATTAGTAATATCCAATTAAAAACCACATTCAAGTTGGCAGAATGAAAATGTTGGCATTCTCATGAAATATGTCATTTTTGTGGAATTTAAAAAAAATGGCATTTTTTACACCGATCGGAGGTGGTGGTTCAGGGAGGTAGTACAGGCGGTGGGAAAGGTATTCATATTTTTTTGGGAAAGTTCCCGAAATAGGACTAAAATAGTTTCAAAATTCTAAAATGGGATTGTCATGTATTTATTCCCAAAATGGGACTAATTACTGCCAAATTTGGAAAATACTGTCATGTTTGAAGTCTAATACTGCCAAAACATGGCAGTAATTAGTCCTATTTTGGGAATAAAAACATGCAAGTCCTATTTTGGAATTTGTGAACGTTTTTAGTCCTATTTCGGGTAATATATCTATTTTTTTAAATTTTTTTATGGAGTTTTACTATTTTTATTAATTTTCAAAAAAAAATAATACCTCTTTTTCTTATTTTTATTTTATAAAAAATTTTATTAATTTTTTTATTATTTTTCTACGAATTATTGAAATTTTTTCGGATTTATTATGAATTAAACATTTAATTATGACTTTTAGCTATCTTTTACTAATATTTAAAGGAGGGGTAAGAATGGAAGGAAGAAATGGGTATGTTTCTAATAGGACCATTATGATCCTATTTTGGAATAAAAATATAGCAAGTCTTATTTTGAGTTTTTGTCATAGTTTTAATCCTATTTGAAGTAATTTCTAAATGAAAAATCAGTTTTCGGAAAATGATCTTCCACAGTTTCTAAAAAAAACTGATTCTAGGAGTAAAT